AACCCAGTTATCCCAGAAAGTCACGAGAGAGAACTGAATTGATACTCATCATCCAGCTCAGACTCCAACCTCATGTCTTACTCCTTTTGCCTCAAACACGCATTCTCCCTTTACCACTTGGGATCTCCCAATAAGTCCTTGAAAAGCCTCACGTGTACTTTGTCTCTTATGAGAAGCCTTCCCTGACTCTCCTAGACTATCCTGATAGCCACCTTCTATGAACAATTTCTAGATTATTATTATTATTATTATTATTATTATTGAGAGGTTTTTGCTATTAGGGCACATGCACTTGCCAGAAAGACAGAGAGACACAAAGCGAGAAATCACCCCCCTGGGGGTTGGCCATGCTGCAATCCCTTCTCCTCCATTCTCCTCTCAGGATCTTGGGCACGCACGCACACATGCCTAGTGTGAGTTTAAGCCACTGGGTCCGGGACTCGAACTACAGTCAACTACATGGTAGTTCAGTTACATGCCATTATGCCAACTGCTGGTCCAAGATTCTTTAGGTATTTCTACTTCAGTATGTATCAATTGCTATGTAATTTGTTTAATATCTGCCTCCTCGATTAAGATTGCAATGCCTTGGGACCAGCAGTTAGTGTAATGGCTATGTCGCTGAACTCCATGTAGTCAACAGCGGTCTGAGTCCTGGACCCTGTGGCTTAAACTCATGCCAGGTGCTTGTGCGTGTGGGCCCAAGGTCCCGGGAGGAGAATGGAGTAAAAAGGATTGCAGTGTGGCCATCCCCCCTGGGGGGTGATTTCTCGCTTTCTGTCTCTCTGTCTCTCTCTGTCTTTCTGGTGAGCACACGTGCTCTATAGCAAAACCCTTTCCAAAAAAAGAAAAAAAAGATTGCAATGCCTCGAGTTTGGGCTTCTATTTTCTTTAACCACTAAACCTCTGCCACTGCCCAAGTTCGATATTCAGCTGCATTTTACTTATTTATGTTTTAGGTTTCTGCCATAGGGTGAGTATTCTCACCAGACAGACAGAGATAGTTAGAAGGGAAAATGAGAAATCACTCCTCAGAGGGGATGGCCATGCTGCAATCCTTTCTACAATCTCCTCCTGGGATTTTGGTTGCACATGCACCTGGTGTGATTTTCAAGCCACCAGGTCGGGGACTTGAACAGTGATCAGCCATGTGGGAATCTAGCACCTTAAGTATTGTACCACTTGCTGGCCCGTGAGTATTTTATTTTTATTCTCTTTACGTCAATCCTTCAAGTAGATTACTATGCCTAATTATGTAGAAAGAAAACTATCAACTAAAAATGCCCTCAGCTTTCCAACAAATCTATATATATCTTCAGTCTCTCCTTCGTTATCTCAAGGTTTCAACATTCTGATTAAAGTCACTTGCCCGAGTCCCTATCTCCTCTAGAAACTTGCTCTGTAAACTGTCCTCTCTTTGATGGGTCACTCTGATCTACAATCTCAACAGAGTCTTCCTCTCGAGATGCAAATATCCACATCTTCCATCTCCAAAACAAATATGCCCCATCCTGTTAGTATCAGAACATCACTATTCCCAACAAATACATCTTCACTGTTCACTTCTGAATCACTCTTTATCTGCTATATTGCACGTATTTTATCTCTATCTGGGTCTCTAGCGTAACTCAGGAACTGACACATCAGACATTTTCAACATTTCACTGAAAGTCTTCAATCCTTTCTTCAGTAGCCAAGTCCAGTGGGTACATTTTCAGACATTATTATTTTTTTTAAAGAGATTTTTGCTATAGGGCATGTGCATTCACCAGACAGACAGAGAGAGACATAGAGACAAAAAGCGAGAAATCACCCCCCAGGGGGGATGGCCATGTCGCAATCCCTTCTCCTCCATTCTCATTTCAGGATTTTGGGCATGCTTGCACACATGCCCTGGGTGAGGTTTAAGCTGCTGGGTCTGGGACTTGAACTGCAGTTGACTATGTGGTAGTCCAGCAATGTAACCATTATGTCATCTGCTGGTTTCTTATTATTCTTTTAGAGAGATTTTTGCTATAGGGCATGTGTGCTTGCTGGAGAGACAGAGGGAGACAGAGAGACACAAAGCAGGAAATCACCCCCCCCCCAGGGTGGAGAGCCACATGGCAATCCCTTCTCCTCCATTCTCTTGGGTTTTGGGCACACATGCACACGCATGTGATGTGAGTTTCAAGCTGCCAGGTCCGAGACTCAAACCGCGGGTGACTACGTGGGAGTTCAGTGACTTAACCACGACACAATCTGCTAGTCCCCCATTTTAGACATTATTTTACCTGACCTCTGCCAGGATCGAGATGTTGACTGTGTGTACTATATTAAAATGTTAATCTGCTAAATTTTTATGGTATGAATCTTCTGGATCTTCTACTTTAGTTTTATCACTTGCATGTGCATGCGCTTGCATGCACACAAACACACACACACACACACACACTGATATGTAACATGTGCATGTTGATTTTGTTTACAAAAGCATGTTGCTTTTGCCAGAAAAGTACAAATTACTTGACAGAAGTTGATTGGATTCGAAAAACTAAATCTGTAATCCTGAACTTAGTCTTTTTTAAGCCCCCTCTTCTATAATTTCTTTTACAAAAAACAATCGGTCCCAATGTTACTCAAATATTTATAAGAAGGATTGAATTACAATGTCTTAAATTGGGCCAGCAGGGGGTGTGGTGGTGAAGTGCTGAATTCCCACATGATTGACTATGGTTTGAACCCTGGACCTGTGGCTTGAAAATCATGCCAAGTGCATGTGCGTGCATGTGCAGAATCTTAAGAGGAGAATGGAGAAGGGACTGTAGCATGACCACGCCCCTGGGGGGTGATTTCTCATTTTCTCTTTCTCCCTCTTTTTCAGGTGAGTGCACATACCCTATGGCGAAAACCTTAACAACAACAAAAAAGTCTTAAATCTATTTATGATTACCATAAAATGCAAAATACTATAATTATTTTTTGACTGTGCACTTTAAAGCTCTACTCACCCAAAGGCTGGTCAGTTGAATGCTCTTTAGTATCTATAAAAATACAAAAAAATAAAAATAAAAACAAATAGGTGTTATTATCCATAATATAAATATTTTCAGAGATAAAGGCACATGAAAGCCAATGATAACATTGCCTACATCATTAAAATACAGAATACAATTTCTAAGAACTTACAACTAAAAAACTTTTAGATTTTTGATAAAAACATACATGGATAGACAGAACGGAATCAAGTCTGAGAAATTCCTTCAGTTACCAATTGCCATGTCCGGAGGTAATAATTTTTAACAGATTAGGTAGAAATTACAACCTGAAAATCACGGTGGTACTAGAAGGAGCAGCCACTGCTGCAGCATGCATGATGCCTTGGCTAGCACTGTTCTAAGTACCTTTCATATAACAGATTTAATGACACTGTGCTCTAGCCTGTGAGGCATGCACTGCCATTAACCCCGTTATACAGATAAGCAAACTGAGGCTGAGAGTTTAAGTTACTTGCCCAAAGTTATGAAACTAAGTAGCAAGTCTGGATTCTAAGTCTCATTCCAGATTTTATGCTTTCACCATCTACAATATAAAATATGATACCTCTTACCCTTGAGCACCACCCAGGTAGAGATTCAGGGAAAGGCATAGTTCAGTCAGTCATACGCCTGCTACTTTACAGAGGGTAATTTTGCATTTCCAGTGAAATAAACGCCACTGGGCCATCAGATGGCATGGAGTTAAAGTTGCTGGATCTCACAAGGCTGACTGTGTGATTAAAGTTATAGACCTGGTGGCTTGAAAAACATGTAGGGCACATGTGTGTGCATGCCCAAATCCCAAGAGAATGAACAAGGGATTGTGGCATGGCCATCCCCCTTGGGGGTTATTTCTCACTTTCCATCTCTCTCTCTCCCGGCCCTGGCAAGCACGTGCACCCTGTACCAAAGCTAAAACAAACAAACAAAATGCATGCATGTATGTATGCCACTGTACCTATTAAAAGCTTTCTCTACATATCATTCGTTCTGTTCTAAAACTCAAATTTTTGGTGTTTCTGAATATTGGGGAGTAAGGACTTAATCAAAGAGGGGGCCATGAAAATGTGAGAAGCTTAATCGTGTTGTTTGAAAACATTTATGTGAAATAACTTTTCACACTGTTCATTAAACAAGGGCAAGAACTAACAGATTTAGAAAAATGGGAATGCTATCCAGACCAAAAGAAGCAATTACTAGGACAGTGCTTGACACTGTTTTGTTTTGGATGTGTGAAGCAAAGGTTACCGAGGCTTCCCATGAATTCCAGGACACTGGGGCGAGGAGACTGAGACACTGGCGAGGGTGGCTTTCGACTTATACACAGTCAGCGCTACCCAGGCAATGCTCACAGTAACAACTGTTCATTAACAAAACATGAGTGTGAAACTAAGCCAACTTGCCATGGTATAATGAGAAATAACACGGAGAAAAATAATAGGGCTTCCTACAAATGTTATTAAGTGATATAATTGCGCTTTTTTTTTTTTGTCCCCATGTCCTTTTATTTGTGCCCTCATCAGAGAGAGACAAAGAGAAGGAAAGTGGGACCCTCTCCACCCCTACACCCACAGGGCGGGTGGCCATGCCATCTGGTGTTTTTCAAGCACTGGGTCTGGAACTTGAATCGCCAAGTGGGACCCAGTGCCTTAACCACCACGCCATCTGCTGGCCCTAGTTGCCTTCATAATCTACTCCAATACGATCTTATTTTCAGATATATTCATTGGTTCCACCACTGCCTTCAGACGTCCACGACCTGTATGGAAGTCCTCTGCCTCCATGCACTCTTCACTGTGGCTTCTACCTTTATCTCAGTCACACGCTTCCCCTCTAGCTCACTTTGCTCTGATTAAAGTTGGCCTAGGGAGTTCTGCATGCTCTTGCCAACTGTCAGTCTCTTAACGGTCGCTGACCAAGCCACCTGTATCTACAGTGCTGACTACCTGCTAACGCACTTCTTAGTACAGATGAAGACACCTGTGCAGCCAGTTCAGAGCCATCTGTGGGAAGTCCCAGGGGTCCGAGCAGTTCAAAAATGTTACTGCTAACCTCAAACGCTGAATCCTAGCTTTCAAATGAAAGATGGTGCACATCCCTCTGAACATTACATTGTATTCTCTTGTACAATGAGTAACAAACAAAATGATAAAAGACAGGTTGATGTTTTATGTTGCCTCAACTGCTTATTTTTCTATCCTTATAATTTTATAATCTAGGATATCTTTGTTTTACAGCATGAAATCATGCCATGTAAATAGTAATTTCTACCCTAAATTATATTACTTTAATACATAAAAAGTTACCAGTGTTACTTATAGCAAGAGAGTGTCTAAGAATCTCTTACAGCTATTCCTCACTTATCGACCTACCTGTTTATGAACACTCAAATTACGACCAGGTCCCCAGTGTGGAGAATCCCCCTTCTCAGTCTTTGTCTCATTCTGCCGTCAGTCAGCGTTCATTACTTGAAGCGTTCCCAAACATGCAAGACTACGTATTTCATTTATAAATTCATACTTTATTGTGTACCCACAATAGTAATCAGAATAAATAAAAACGATTATGCCACATTTATGTTCCTGTGTTGTGGTGTCTCTTGCGGTTTTCTGGTGCTTATCTAATGTACGTATTTTTTTTCTCTAGCATGTGTGCTCATCGGAGAGACAGAGAGAGGGAAAGTGAGAAATCTCCCCCTGGAGGGGAGATCCACCTGCAATCCCTTCCCCCCCCATTCTCCTCTTGGGATTTTGGGCATGCACACGTGCGTGTCCAGCATGTTTGTCAAGCAGCTGGGTGTGGGACTCAAACTGAGGAGCTGGCCATGTGGTATCCAGCACCTTAACCACCACACCACCTGCTGGCCCTAATGTATACTCTTTGTGTGGATAGGATTACATTACTCTAGCGTGGTATTGTGTGATATTTACTGAAAAATACATGCCCTGTAGTGCCATGACACAACACAAGACACCCATGTTTACGTTACTCCCTTATCAACCAATTCATTTAACAACCTAGGTGTGTGGTCGTTAAGTGAAGAGTGTCTGTATCCCACAACTTAAAAATACAGAACTAATGTATTATATTTGTTTGTAACTCACCAGGATGCCCAAAATTGTGTAATTCATCTAAAATGAAATAAGAAAATAAATTAATTTAAATAATCTGTCAATTTAGCATAAATAGGCTAATCAAAATAGTAATTTTTGAGCTAATAAATAATTGTCTTGATTAGTCTAGAACTTTTCAAATTAGATGAAGAAGCCATGCAAATAGTGAATAGGAAAGAATACTGTTACAGGCCCATAAAGGAATTCTAAGTTATTACTGCCTTCAGTAAATGACAAAAAGGTAAATGTATTCATTTAAAATTTGTTCAAAGTTTTAGAAACCCTGGTCATCACTGGACAAAAACAGTCAGGATCTAGATCTGTCTGTGGCCACACATAGGAACTCTTTGAAAGAAATGAACAATCTCAAATGATCTTTTTAAAAAATAAGCTTTATTTTAGAACATTCTGAGGTTTATAGAACTGTTGTGAAGACTGTGCAGAGTTCCTGAATACCCAACACCCCGTTTTCCTACTAACATCTCATGTTCATGTGGCCTATTCACCCCAACTAGACATGCCCTGTTTTCCTTCAGGACTCCAGTTAGGATACACGTTGTATTTACTGTGTCTCCTTAGGATCCTCTTGGTTGTCACGGTTGCTCAGATGTTTTATAATCTAGGATATCCTTGTCCATGATGACCTGGATATTTTTGAGAAGTAACTGGTCAGATATTTTGCTGAATGTCCCTCAACTGAGAATTGTCTGACGTTTTCTTCAGTTAGATTCATGGTTTTTTGAGTTAAATGTAATATGTTTGGGGGTTTTAGTGGGTTCAGAATTAACCTGTACCCATTGTGGGACATCTTATGATGGCTAAAGGGTAGGCAAAATAATCTAAGCAAATGTCTGTAATGGTATAATTGTCTATTTTTTTCTTTACAAAATTTATAAAGGTAAAATTACCATGAATAATAAATTACAAACAGTATATTAGTCCTAAGACTTTATGGAAGAACTTTCTTCTTATATGTGACCTAGAAGCCATGCAAAAGCAGTATCCATAGGCACACATTTTTAAGGGTAAGCAGTATCCATCAGCACACATTTGTAAGGGTATGCATCATTTGTTTTGCTTTCCATCTTATAGTCTAGACTCCTTTCTAGGTTGGCATCTCCTCTCTTCTGTGAGGTTGTTTCATATATTTGTAAGAGCTGGATTCTTTTGTCACATTCTGCATTCCATCTTAAGGTCCTCTGATCTCCTAAATAAAATAAAAAAAAATCCCCTGGGGCCAGCAGGTGGCATGATGATTGAAGTGCTGGATTCCCACATGGCTAACCATGGTTCAAGTCCCAAACCCGGCGGCTTGCTTTCTCACTCTCCCTTTCTGTCTCTCTCTGGCCAAAATGATAATTAAAAAAAAAAAAAAAAACCCTGAGCTTCACCCACTCAATGCTCATTTCTTATCCTGATCAAATATCTTCAACAAAATACAGAAAATGAAATAGAGGACATCATATTACATAGATGAAAAAATAACACACTATTATAATAAAAAATATAGGACGCTGTTCATAATGTGTCAATCTACCAACAATAAAATGTCTCAACTTGGCAAGCTCTTTTTAGAAAAGTCCAGTTGTTCCATCTGAAATTTTGGAGCAACTTCATAGCTGGATTTTCACCTCAATGTGTTCTGAGTAAGTTATTTGAAAATCAGAGTTTCGTAGTGTGCTCGCCACTGTGAACACTGGAGTCTGGCAGGGACAGAAGCAGCACGATGAGGGGAAAATTCACGTGCACCACCCTGTCGCCAAACGGCAGCGCCAGCTTCTATTTATTCAGAGGTCTCCGATGTTAGGTAAAAACCATGCAATGAAGCAGAAAAGAGTAAGAGAGGAAGAGGAGACTGATTAGGATTTCTTCACGGGGCTTCCTTCACACACACTGAAGCTCTCTTATGTGAGAGGATTCTTGTTTGCAGCTACATGAAAGAATGAGAACAGTAATGATAGTATTTCAATGTGATACCATAGAGCTACTAAGCACAGGAAAAACAGGAAATATAAGATTCAATATTATTTCCTTCCTTTACTCAAGTAGAGCTCAAGGTTATATAACAGGTTGAAGAGGCAGGAATCGAAAAAATACTCAGAAATCCACAAACCAAATTTTGCAAAACAATGGGATGTCACATTGAGGGAAGTTGATTTAAGTTTCAGTATTTACTCATTATAATTTTAAGTATAAAACTCTGGTTAATTCAAACAAATTACAGCACCAGCAAGTGGCATGGTGGTTGGTGTGCTGGATTTCCACACGGCTGACTGTGGTTCAAGTCCTGGACCCGGTGGCTTGTTTTCTCACTTTCCCTCTCTCTTTCTGAAGTTAAAACAAAATAATAATAATAATAATAAATAAAATAAATAATTCTTTTAAAAAATTAGAAGTTTTATGTTGGAAAAATTTTTAGTTTTCTTTACATATTATGGTAATGGTAACATGACATGACATTAATTTATATCCTGGTAGCTTCAAAAAATTTTTCAATTTGATATTAAAATAGTGTATTTGATATTTGATAAAACATATCTTAAATAATAAATCTCCTGCTCTAAAACTTCTATAAACACACCTGCATTTGAGAGGTATCATACCATGGCTAAAGAATAGATAAAATAGGGACCAGCAGTTAGCATAATGGCTATGTCGCTGGACTCCCATGTAGCCAACTGTGGTTCGAGTCTCGGACCCGGTGGCTTAAATTCACACCAGGCGTGTGTGCGTGTGTGCGTGTGTGCCCAAGATCCCGAGAGAAGAATGGAGGAGAAGGGATTGCAGCGTGGCCACCCCCCCCGGGGGGGTGATTTCTCACTTTCTATCTCTCTGTCTCTGTCTGTCTGGCGAGCGCATGTGCCCTATAGCAAAAACCTAAAATAATCTAAACAAATATCCAGAACAGTTTAGCCATGTAATTTTACAAATTTTTGAAGATAAAAATTAACATTATGAATTAACTGTAGAGCCTTGTGGTCTAGTGGTTCAGGGAAATGGATCCCACATGGCCAATTCTGTGGTTTGAATCTTGGCTCTGGCAGCTTTAAAAACTCCGGGCGCATGTGTGTGCATGCTGGGAATTCCAACAGGAGGGAGAGGTACATGAGGGGGCGGAGGCATAGCCACAGCCCTGGGGGAGCGCTTCTCCTTCCTCTCTGTCTCTCTATGGTGAGCACACATGCTCTCTGGCAAATTAAAAAAAGAAGAGAAAATGCAAATGTTTACTACTCAAAAGTCATTATGTAGGGCCAGCGTGGTGGTTGGAGTGCTGGACTCCCACATAGTTCGAATCCTGGACCTGGTAGCTTACTTTCTCGCTTTCCCTTTCTCTCTCTGTCTCCCTCTGGTCAAATGAAAAATAATAACAATAATAACAAATGGAACTAAATAAATAATTTTTAAAAAGTCATTATGCAGTAACTTTGTTCTTGTATCAATAGAAAATCGACTGAAGATTAGTTATTTTTGCAGTGTATTAGTTTAATAGTGTCTGGGGCAATTTATAAAACTTCAAAGGCTAAGTATCCTTCAAACAGAACCATTGCTTCGAGCTAGTATTTTTTCCATCACTGCGCGCAGCAGGCTAGAGTACTCCACCAAACCCAAGAGTCGCCAGCATGCAAGATATTTGGGTTCAAACCAAAGGATTACACTACCTTCAGTGCACTCCACTGCCTCATCTGTTCTTCCTTGTTTCAAAGAAAACAAATTCAAATATATTGTAATTCAGGTTTTTAGGAAGGGCAGCCAGCAAACAGCGAGATAAACGTCACAGAAATGTGTTGGCAAACCAAAGTTTGCATCAACAGCGCCTACTACTGACAACATTATTGTGAACATATTAACCTTAAATAGAACAAACTCCCGAATGATGCAGTTCGTAATGAGGATTGTTTATTAAGAAGCACTTCTTCCCTTGAATATCTGTTTTAAAACATGTTTGACCTGAAATGTTTTTCTAGCAAATAAAGGATTTTATCACTAGAGCTTTAAATAACACACTTCTGGGCCAGTCTGGTGTGGTGGTTACGGCGGCTGGGTCCCACCTGGCCCACCATGTGGTTCAAGTTCTAGACCTGGTGGCCAGAAAAACATGCGAGGCATGCATGTGTGCATGCTCAAAATCCTGAACAGGGGGAGAAATGGAGAAGCGGGTGCCTTCTCATCAGCCCCCTTCACCTGGGCCTGTGCATGCACCCTTCTGGCCAAGTTAAAAAAAATTAAAAAACCACATTCCTTGCATAAATGTTAAATTTTAAAATGAAAAAAATTATCTCAGTCAAATAGCTTTTTTTTTTTTTCTGGTTCTTCTTGCTCTTTGTGAACTTAGGTTACAAATTTAATATGTATTTTCTCAAAACAATATAACTTTCACTATTTAACCCATCGTTAAATAGTAGAATAAAAACAGTATAATTTCCTTGCTAAATGTTCCAGTTCATATAGATCATATTATATTCCAGTTACTGAAACTCTGTGTAACACTACTCACCTATGAAGACTTGTGCTTTCTTGCTATCTTGACTGTCTCGGTCATTGTATACTCGACACCAATAGGTTCCTTGATGTTCCAGATCCACGTAAGGCACCTATGTCAACAGCAGAACGCGCACAGATTTCCTTTTCAATTTTAATTTAAATTGGCTTGGAGAGAAAGTCATTTTTTTTTTTAAAGAAAAAAAGAGAAAAAGAAAAAACACACCTCCCAAATATAACATTTAAGAAGGCTTCAGACTTGCTCAGATTATCTTTCTTAGATTACTGAAGATAATCTATTAGGTTAAATATCAGCAAGTAAATGATACAGTAATTCCAACAGCAGTGAGCCTGGTGTGATATTCTTTGGCATTCACATAAAGCCAATGTTGAATTCTAGCACTTTCCCAAATCGAAGAATTAATTAATATTCAACCACAAGGGACTTAAAGTAAAAACACTGAAAACCCTCCAAAGAGGAGTTGTAATGTTCGCCTTAAATTCAAGAAGAACATTTGTTTTAAATATTAGCCCCGGCAAAATACCCCCCAAGTCAACTTCCTACCATGAATAGCTTTTTTGTCTCATGTGTTAATGGTGATTCATTCCTGAACCACTGGTAGTGAGGAAGGGGGCTTCCAACAGCCACACACTGCAAAACCAATGTGCTGCCTGGCATTAGTGTTTGGGACTTCGGTTCAACACAGATTTGCAACTTGGATTCAGAGATGCCATCCGAACTTCCTTAAAGTAAAAGAAAAAAATAAAATCTTCAGGTTGAAAATAAAAGCAAATTTTTCCTATAGTTAAAAAAACAGATGTGTCAGGGACCAGCAGATGACATAATGGCTACATTGATGGATTGCCATGTAGCTGACCATGGTTTGAGTCCTGGACTCGGTGGCTTAAACTCATGCAGAGTGTGTGTGCGTGTGTGCCCAAGAGCCCGAGAGAAGAATGGAGGAGAAGGGATTGAGGTGTGGCCAGCCCTTCTGGGGGTGATTTCTCACTTTCTCTCTGTCTTTCTGGCGAGCGCATGCACCCTATAGTAAAAACCGCTCAAAAAAAAAAAAAAAAAAAAAAAAATGTGTCTGTTTTCCCTTTATTTTTCCCTTTATTTCAAAAAAAAAAAAAAAAAAAAAGATGTGTCATTTTACCCTTCATTTTACCCTTCATTTTAAAAATGAGTTTATTGGGGCCAGCAGGTGGCATGGTGGTTAAGGATTTCCACATGGCTGATTGCAGTTCAAGTCCCGGACCTGGAGGCTTGCTTTCTTGCTTTCCTTTTCTCTCTCTGGTCAAATGAAAATAATAATACTAATTATAATAACAAATAAAATTAAATAAATAAATAATTTGAAAAAGTTTATTTATTCCTTCCATGAGAGAGACAAAGACAGACCGGGAGCACCCCAGCCGGTCCTTATGCCATGATTCTACGGCCACCCTTAGCCAGTCAGGGTCACAGGCACATGTGTAGCACCTGGCATGCACAGGGAGGCCCTGGGACTCAAACCTACCTGTGTGAGTCCAGGTGAATTACAGTCATGTTGCTGGCCTTTACTCTTCATTTAAAAAAATTTTTAATGACATCTCCCAGACTCTCAGATTCCAAATGCTGGGGTAATTTGTGTATAGATACATTTTTCACAAATAATGTTTAGAAATTACAGACAAGCAGCAGACCTGACCTATAAGAATATTAAAGGAGGGACCAGCAGATAGAGTAATGGTTATGTTGCTGGACTCCCAGGTAGTTGACTGTGCTTCGAGTCTCAGATCTGGTGGCTTAAACTCAGGCCAGGCGTGTGTGCATGTGTACTGAAGATCCCAAGAGGAATATGGAAGAGAAGGGATTGCGGCATGGCCATCCCCCGTGGGGGGTGATTTCTCACTTTCAGTCTCTTGACTCTTCAGTGAGCGCATGCACCCTATAGCAAAAATCTCTCCCCCTACCAAAAAAAAAAAAGAAAGAAAGAAATGTTAAAGGAGATTCTTTGCCATAGCGAAATGATACTGGAGAGCACCCTTGGTCAGCAAGAAAGGATAAAGAGCTTCACAACCGGTAACTATGCCAGTACACATTTTTTTATAAGGATTATTTTATTTAACTTTATTTATTGATTTTTAATTTGATCAGAGAAAGGGAAAGTGAGAAAGTAAGTGGCCTGGCCTAGGACTAAAACCATGGTCAGCCACGTGGGAGTCCGGCGCCTTTAACCACCATGCCACCTGCCGGTCATCCTGATACACATTTTTTAAAAAAACCTTTTAATATTATATACACATATACAATATGTGTGTGTCTCTCTGTGTGTACATATGTGTATGTGTGTATATATGTATATATATTTATATGTATATATATTTATATGTATATATATATATTCAAAAGATGGACTAAAAAGTAACAACAAGAGTTAATAACCAGCGTGGAAGTAAAATGTATAACAAGCACATGGAGAATGGGTGGGAGGCTGGAAGTACTCTATGCTGAGGTTCTTTCACTGTTGCTAAAGTAGAATAAACTTTGAAAGCATATTAAGGATAAGTTACAGAGGCATATTATAATCTCTAGAGCAGCCACTAAAAAATACCCCACATAACTAAGGCCAATAAAAAGAGATAAAATGGAAAAAATAGAATAAATGGTTGCTAAATATTTGGCTTCATTAAAGATGACTAAGATCCAGACTTTCCCCTCTGGAGTTGAGATGAATAGGCAGACATGCTTGACAATAATACCTACAATAGAACAGAATTGTGTTCAAAAGAATAACTTTTGGAGGGAGAAAGGTGGCAAACGACACTTTGGAGTCCCCGTACTTTCAAATGCAACAGCTAACCTTTTCTTCCTGATCTTTCTCTAAGGAATTAGTGGTCAGGGGCTCTCTCTTATGCTTAGTTTAGAACAACTGCAACACCGAAGACCAAAGCCCTACCTCGTGACGGTGCTCACCGAATCACGTAACTGAGTGACCACCGTGTGCCAGCTTTGTTCTAAGAATCAGAGAGAGAAAGGGGAGCTAAGAACTACTCCTTGCCCCCGGGGAGCTCAGATGGCTAGGCAAATATGTAATTCTGAAAGCAATGTAATGAGTTCTGTCATAAAGGTGAAATCAGAGTGCCGAGAGAGAAGAGGGAGGTGAGAACGGAAAGAACCCTGAGGGTCTGCAAGACAGAAAAGGTATTCAGATGGAAGAACTGATGCAAAGCTTGGAGCTGTGAACAGGCAAGGCACCGTCAAGAAAACGGAGGTTACGGGGAGACTGAGCTTGAGTGTAGATGCCATCTGTGAGACGGGCACAGGGCCATGACAGGAGTCGGAGCTGCAGAGGCCAGGGGCAGGGACCAGACTGGGAAGGTCTTCAAAAAGTCATGGCGCAAGCGTATATTATGAAATCTATAAATGCACTAAACATTTTTTTTCCACCAAGGTAAACTCATACTTCAATTTCATCTTTCATGAACTTTAAAAAAAGTATTATTTATTTAATTTCACTTATTATTATCATCACTTCTTAATTTGCTATAGGGCGCCAGAGGGAGATAGAGAGAGAAGGAAAGTGAGAAAGCAAGCTGTCAGGCCCAGGACTTGAGCTGCTATTAGGCATGTGGTAGCCCAGCACCCTAACCACCACGCCACCTGCTGGCCCCTCCATGAACATTTTGAAGTCCCCTGGAATACGTGTGTATAGAGAAAGAGAAAGCACCTGGGATCAAACCTTAACCGTTGATGATATATTACATGAAATGCACACAGGAGCTTTTGGTACAATTGTTGATGCTCTCAAATTGTCTAGAGGGAAATATTTAAAGTAAAATGAAACAAGGCAGTCTCCATCCTAGCATTCAACTTCTTTTTATCACTTACTCTGGAAGCTTTCTGTTACGTCAGTGACTTGGCAAACATCCAGCTGTGACCACTGGCTGAATTCGAAGGTGAAATTATTATTCACTCGGCAGACATAAAAACCTGCGTCTTTTACATGTACTTCCTTAAAAATAAGTTCTGATGCATTTCCATATGGAATCTGTGAAAAAAAAAATCAGTGAACAGAACATAAGTGAATAACTTATCAAAAAATCCTGTCTTACAAAACACACTGTGCAAATCTCTGACTTCAGCGTGGAGCTTCGGAAGTCTCTCTTTCTCTCCCTCAGGTTTAAAGTACTTGTTAGTTAAAGCATAACGATCTTTTTTTAAAAAAATTATTTTATTTAACTTTATTTATTTATTCATTTATTTATTTGAATTTGACCAGAGAGGGAGAGAGGGGGAGAGGGGGAGAGGGAGAGAGGTAGAGAGAGGGAGAAAGCCGCCAGGTCCAAGACTTGAACCATGGTCGGCCATGTGAGAGTCCAGTACCCTTAACCAGCAAGTCACCTGCTGGTCCCAAGCATAACAATCTTGATTTCTGTAGGACGAAGCCTCAGAAATCTACAGGCTTTGACAATTCTCTCAACCAAAGCATTTCTCTGCCCTCCCAACAGCTCACAAAAGCTCCCCAGCAGAACACTACCCTGTCCTGTCATTGAACCAGTTCAATGCTTTTGCTGTGGAAGGACCTATGACTGCACTATTTATGAGTTATGTAGCCACGATGTGGCAAACCCCTCAGTGGCATGGAGAGAACACAGAATTAGATCTGGCTACGTAGTGCTTTCAGTTCTGGCCAAATTAGCTTTGAGTAAATGGGCAAGACATTTTACTTGGAGACCCCACTGTCTCATCTGCAAAATTCTTTGTGAGGAAAGACCCCTTAACCAAACTATATTCCACTTCCTTCACAGTCGAGGTGGAGAAGGCTATGGAAGCACATCAGTGATGGGAAGGAATGGCGTCAGGGTTATCCGAGCTCTTCCCTGGGCTCCTGCCACCACAGTTAGGTTTCCTTCTCTTGGAATTTGCCGACTACACCCACCGTTGGTGCACTGCCCAGGGGCCTACTCGAGTGCCTCCTTTTACACCATAACTTCCTGGCAAAGTACGTTAACAGGCTCACCCTTCTCTCCCACCAACCCTCAGCCAATGAGTTCCACTCTCTCCCCTCAGTACCTGCACCAGGCAAGAACACGGTGCTGAAGATGTGGCATCTGGGATGACAGACTGCACTTCAGTACTGCTTGACGCTCCTCCTGTGCTAGCCACCATGTCTGCCTGCCTTCTGGGTGATGAATGGACACGCTCCCTCTCCTCGAATCTTCTCCTGGGAGAAGTCCTACTTCTCTCCGACACTGACTTCTGACAGAAATTCTCCCATCCCGCCACCAAATCACAAACCTGGGCATGTCTGTGCCCATTTATAACTGCTCTTTTCCCTCTTGTTAAAATACAAAATGCAGGGCCGGGAGGTGGCATGGAGGTTAAGGGGGCTGGACTCCCACATGGCCGACTGTGGTTCGAGTCCCAGACAAGCACATCAGTGATGGGAAGGAATGGCGTCAGGGTTATCCGAGCTCTTCCCTGGGCTCCTGCCACCACAGTTAGGTTTCCTTCTCTTGGAATTTGCCGACTACACCCACCGTTGGTGCACTGCCCAGGGGCCTACTCGAGTGCCTCCTTTTACACCATAACTTCCTGGCAAAGTACGTTAACAGGCTCACCCTTCTCTCCCACCAACCCTCAGCCAATGAGTTCCACTCTCTCCCCTCAGTACCTGCACCAGGCAAGAACACGGTGCTGAAGATGTGGCATCTGGGATGACAGACTGCACTTCAGTACTGCTTGACGCTCCTCCTGTGCTAGCCACCATGTCTGCCTGCCTTCTGGGTGATGAATGGACACGCTCCCTCTCCTCGAATCTTCTCCTGGGAGAAGTCCTACTTCTCTCCGACACTGACTTCTGACAGAAATTCTCCCATCCCGCCACCAAATCACAAACCTGGGCATGTCTGTGCCCATTTATAACTGCTCTTTTCCCTCTTGTTAAAATACAAAATGCAGGGCCGGGAGGTGGCATGGAGGTTAAGGGGGCTGGACTCCCACATGGCCGACTGTGGTTCGAGTCCCAGACCTGGTGGCTTGCTCTCTCGCTTTCTCTCTCTACATATCTTGCTCTGTCCCTCTTTGGTCAAATAAAACAAACAAACAAATAAATAAAGTTAAAGAAAATAATTCTTTTAAAAAAATACAAAATGCATCTTCCTAACAAAGGCTATTGAGGCTAAGGATACATGGGGACCTACTCGGGGCCTTTAGAGTTGGCGTGAAGATACATGAAGCTAGAAGACATCTGAGATTTGACAGATGCAGAAAGAAGTCTTCTCAAGGCTTATTTTATCTGACTAAAGCAGAAACTAGTCTGAATGAGGTAGCCATAAATCCCCTCTGGGGCTGACTTTCACTCCCAGGAAGGAGATGAAGAGGAAACCTACCATAAAACCCCTCTGGAGAGTTTTATGGCCACACTTAGTTAGAAATGCCACAGGGACTGCATGAACAAGCGATATCATAAACTTCCCTCTCATACTTCCCTCTCGCCCCTTGGGTTCCCTAAAGAAATCTGCTTGTTCTTTCCAGAGAGGTTTTCCCCCTCCTCTCATTTCCTTACTAAATTAGGCATAGAAACCTCTAACTTTAACCATTTAACAAATGACTTCTTTTGTACCTTTTTTACTAAGTTCAGCTGTTTTATTTATTTATTATTATTTAAAAAAATTTGTGATATGGCCCATGCACTTACCAGAGACAGACAGAGAGGAGAGAGGGAAGCAAAGTGAGAAATTGCCCCTGAGAGATGGCCATGTCATGTCTCTTCTTCTCCAGTCTCCCCTCAAGATTTTGGGTATGCACGCACGCACGCACGCATGCACACATACTCCTGTTTTTCAAGCCCTGGGTCTAGGACTTGAACTGTGCAGTTGGCCATGTAGGATCCAGCCACCTTACCCACTATGCCACCAGTGGGCCCTGTAAGCTCTTCTATACATACAAATAAGGTTTTTCTCCAATGACCTGTCTCTTGTCTGTTAATCTGCAGGCTCCCAGACACTGGACCTAAAACTTAAATGGGTAGAAGGAAAGTTTTTCTTCTCCAACACTCCTGTCCTCTCCGACCTTGCTTCTGCAATGTTTTCTCTGCCTTATTAGCATCTACCCTCCCTTTCACTGCATTGTTTTAAAAAACATTCTAGTACCTTCTATCTTATGAAACAAAACACAACAACCCAAATAAACCTCCCTTGACCACACATCTGTTCTCAGGAACATGAAGCTGGCCACTCTTCTTCTTCAAATACTTTCCATTTCAGACTTTCATGCCAATCTCTCTTGGTTTTCTCTCTATCTCTCTGGCAGATTTTTCTGTCTCTTTATTGGTTTATCTGCTATGTAAACTCTCAATGCTGCCTTACCAGATATCCACGTTCTCTAGTTGAGTCACTAGGCATTATTTATTTGATGTATAATAAGCATTTCAAATGTAACACATCTGAAGTCAAGTTTTTTTTTTTTTTTTTGGAGAGGTTTTTGCTATACGGCACGTGTGCTCACCAGACAGACAGAGAGAAACAGAGAGACAGAAAGCAAGAAATCACCCCCCCAGGGGGGATGGTCACGCCACAATCCCTTCTGCTCCATTCTCCTCTCGGGATCTTGGGCACGCATGCACACGAACCCGGCGTGAGTTTTAAGCCACCGGGTCCGGGACACGAACTGCGGTCGACTATGTGGGAGTCCAGTGACATAGCCATTACGCTAAATGCTAGTCTCTCTAAAGTCAAGTTTTTAAAAAATTGTTTTGTCTACATCTCTTCCTCTCTAATTTTCAGCACCTCAGTATAAAACATGTCCCAGATGCTCAAACAAAAAACATGTTTAGAAAAAATTACCTCTTTATTCATTTTGAACCATTGATATTGCACAAAAGGGTGTCCAGTTGCTCGGCAACACAGTTTTACACACTGTCCAGCCAACACTGCCTTTGATTCTGGGTGTACGGTGATCTTTATTCCTTAAAACAAACACAAGTTGAAGTCACAGAAGAGTTTAAATGGCTCATATGTCTAAATCAAACAAGAAAAATTCTGGAAGTAAATACACATCTATCCTTGTCATAAATCACTCATTCCCATCCTCCGCATCAGACTAGGAGTTGGTGTATAACGTCACAGTCCATGTTGGATTGGATAAGTATGTCTATATCACTGATTTGATTATTACACCCCATGTGCATGCTTTGAAAAACCATACCGTACCTCACAAAGACGTACATTATGTGTAAGTGTAAATCTCTCACAACAACAACAGAAGAATAGACATTTGTGAGCTGCGGACTTTGTGAACCCACGAGGGAAGTTACCTTGCCTAAGACTTTGATCTACTGTCTTAGGGGGGTAATTATTTGCCACGTTTCTCGATTCCTAGAAATACATGAAAAAACTTTAGAAAAAATGTATTCACTTATTTCTTCTATTAGAGAGGCACACAGGTGTGTGCACACCTTCAGGACAAGCACCCCAAAAGGATTCTCACACCATGATCTACCCTCGAGGGACCAGCAGTTGGCGTAATGGCTATGTAACTGGACTCCCATATAGTCGACTGTGGTTCGAGTCCCGGACCCAGTGGCTTACACTCACACCGGGTGCATGTGTGTGCGTGCCCAAGATCCTGAGAGGAGAATGGAGAAGAGATTGTGGCACGGCCATCCACTCTGGGGGGTGATTTCTCGCTTTCTGACTCTCTCTGTCTTTCTGGCGAGTGCACGCGCCCTATAGCAAAATCCTTTCAAAAAAACAAACCCCACAATGATCTACTCTCAGCCGTAGCCAGCCTCGACCATGCAGCATGCATGCACATGCCCTGTGTGTTCAGGGAGGTCTCAGGATACAATTCCAGGGCCTTCCCCATGCGGGTCCCAACCATGATCTGGTTCCTGGCTTTAACCCTCTACATTCTAACATTTCTGAAATCATATGTGCCTTACAATAGAGGCCTGCCAGGTGGTAGTCATGACATAGTTCTCGGTGCCAGCTCATGCCATAGAGTTACTTGGTCATAAATAGTCATATGGATAGCCCTCAAACTGAGTTAAGTGCAAGTGTCACGTTTAAATGTCTACTATGGTCTGAAGACGTCCCCTTCAAAATTATGTGTCAGGAACATCATTCCCAGTGCAATAGTGTTGAGAGGTGGGGCCTAAGGGGAGGGGTTCAATAATGAGGGCTCTGGCCTCTCGGGTGGACTAATGCTGTGATGAAAAGGTCTGATGGGGACAGGTTTGCCTCTCTTCTGCTATTCTCTCTTGTGAAGAGAAGACATTTATCCTTGCTCGCGCTTCTCTTCATTCCACGGAGGATGCATCAGGAACCTCCTTCTCAGGTATTTAGACATGATTGTGGACTTCTCAGCCCCTGCAATTGTGAGACATAACATTTTCTTCTCTATAAATTACTCAGTCTGCTGTTATAGCAGCATGAAACAGACTAAGACTGTGCCGATGAAAGCGTCTTCAGATGATTATATTATGACTTACTATGGAAATAAAAATGATTTTGGAAGTGAAAAGGCACAGAAACAGAGCAGAAGGATATACATTTGATACTTGTGATGAAAACATGTCTCATTTGAGCAATAACTAACAGCACTGGTACTTGGGAAACTTGACAGGAACTTGGAAGAAAATCCAGGAGTCAAGCACGGAATGCCCGCTGCTTTCCTCCTGTCTGCCATTGATCACCCACCTGGGGATGCAGGCTGCCAAGCCATGAGGACTCTGCAGGAGCTCTGCAGAGAGGCCCAGGTGGTAAGGACAGAAACTTGGGCCTCCTGCTGGCAGCCAGGGAGGAAATGAGGGCTCTGAACCCACAGCCATGTGAGTGAACCATCTCACAGGATTTTCTAACCCCTGCTGACCCTCCAGATGCCTCCAGCTCCAGCCCTGGTTGACAGCCACTGTTGCTTCATGAGACCCTCAGCCAGACACCCAGCTGGTAAGCTGCTCCTGTATTCCTACCCTCAGAAATTACAGTGGTCGTTTAAGTTTCCAGTTTTGAGGTGATTTATGGTGCATAATTGACATGGAAGAAACCAAAGTTAGGAAATTTTACATTTGGCATGGTTGGGATATATAAAACTGGCTTAACTGGCTTTCAGGAAGGAAGGAGAAAAGATCATTAAAACTTAAAGAACTTATGGACCAGCAGATGGCATAATGGCTACGTCGCTGGACTCTCATGTAGTCGACCGCAGTTCAAGTCCCAGGACCAGGAGTGTGTGGGTGCGTGCCCAAGATCCCGAGAGGAGAATGGAGGAGAAGGGACTGTGGTGTGGCCACCCCCCCTGGGGTGATTTCTCACTTTCCGTCTCTCTGTTTTTCTGGAGAGCACACAGGCTCTATAGTAAAAATCTCTCCAAAAAGAAAAAGAAAAAAAAAACTTAAAGAACTTAATTTCCACTACCTAGTTTCATTTTCTTGTCTATTCTGAGTGTTTTCTTGTAAATAGTATCTTTTTCCTCTATAGCCCACCAATCAGAAGGAATGGAACAAATATTACAAGTAAAGATGCTGTGAATAATAGCATTTTTTTTCTTTTTTTGCTATAGGGTGTGTATACTTGCGAGAGAGAGAGAGAAAGAGAGAGAGAGAGAGAGAGAGAATATCACCCTCCAAGGGAGATGGCCACACTGCAATCCCTTCTCCTTCATCCTCCTCTTGAGAGTTTGGGCACAAATGCACATGCACTCAGCCTGCTTTTCGAGGCACTGGGTCTAGGACCCAAACCATGCAGTTGGCCACATGAGATCCAGCACCTAACTTCCATATCACCTGCTGGCCCAATAGCATCTTTGTTTATTTATTATTCTTAAAAATTTATTTTTTAAAGAATTCTTTTTTTAACTTTATTTATATATTGAAATTTGACCAGAGAGAGACAAAGCACGTGTGCACACAAGTGAGTGAGTGAGTGAGCAAGAGAGCAAGCCACCAGGCCTGGGAATCAAACCTGTCAGTCACGTGGGAGTCCAGCGCCCTTAACCACCATGCCACCTGCTGGCCTGCATCTTTATTTCTTGAAATAAATTATTTAATTTTAAATTCATTATTATCATTTAAATTTGATATAGGGCACGTGCACTCACCAGAGAGAGACAAAGAGAATGCGAGAAAAAGTGAGAAAGCAAGCTGCTAGGTCCAAGACTCGAACTACAGTCAGCCATGTGGGAGTCCAGAGCTTTAACCATCATGCCACTTACTGGCCCTCCAAGAGCAATCTTAATACAACAAAAGGTACTAAGTTTTCTAGGGGAAAAAAAGGATATAAAATATATATATGAAAAATCCATATCCGAAAGAAACCAAAGTTCAAAATGAGTAAGTACTTATTGCATATCTATCATGTTTGAGGATCTAGAAGAACCTTTGAAAATCTTCAGTAAATACAGTAGAGCCTCTCAGAAAGAATTAGAAACTCTTTTCAATGAAGAGATTTCACATTCACCAAGTGTTTATGTTAAGGGCAATTAGCACAGGATGGAATTCAGAATTTTTCTGAGTTCTATAATACACGTTGGTAAAAAGCTGGAAAATGGAAAGGGCACTCTTGCTGAAGCCAGCAAACTCACACCACCATGTTTTACTGATTTATTTATTCTTTAGAGAGACTGTTCCCATAGGATGTATACGCTTGCCAAAGAGACAGAGAGACAGAAAACAAGACGTTACCCCCAGGGGACATGGCCACACCATAATCCCTTCTCCATTCTGCTCTCAGAATTTTGGGCTTGCGTGCACACGCACCTGGCATGAGTTTGAAGCCTCCCGGTCTGGGACTTGAACAATGGTCGGTAATGTGAGAGTCCAGTGATGTAACTCTTTTTTTTTTTTTTTTTGAGAGGTTTTTGCTATAGGGCGTGTGCGCTCGCCAGACAGACAGAGACAGAGAGACAGAAAGCAGGAAATCACCCCCCAGGGGGGATGGCCACACCGCAATCCCTTCTCCTCCATTCTCCTCTCAGGATCTTGGGCACGCACACACACGCGCCCAGCGTGAGTTTAAGCCACCGGGTCCGGGACTTGAACCACGGTCGACTATGTGGGAGTCCAGCGACATAGCCATCACGCTAACTGCTGGTCCCCAGTGATGTAACTCTTACGCTATCTGCTGGGTCCCTATTTTTTTATTTATTAATTGTTATTTATGGCTTATATAACATTGTGCATCTTTGTGGTATACGGGGTAGCTTTTCAAAGCATGCATACAGTATATAATATATAGGTGTATTTATTTAAAACAATTTTTTTTTCTTGCTGTAAGGCACATGTGTTCATCGAAGAAAGCCAGAGTCAGACAGAGGGGAAGTCAGAAATTACCCTCCAGGAGAGATGGCCATGCTGCAATCCCTTCTCCTCCCTTCTTCTCGTGGGATTTTGGGCATGCACACACATGTGCCAAATATGATTTTCAGGGTGCCAGGTTTAGGACTCAAACCATGGTTGGCCATGTGGGAGGCCAGCACCTTAACCATCACACCACCTGCTGGCCCCTAGGCATAATTCACTTTGAACATTACACCATGTTGTATACATTTGGAAATAGATCTCCTGTTCTTCTTTTGGGAAGTATACGCTAAATTGCCAATGTCATTTTTTACTCTGCCGTGGTACACTGCTCCATAACTAATTACTTGTTTACATACATTCCTGGGTCTGCTGATCATTTTCTCTTGCACGACACTGTATTTTAATGTCCCCATATTGACTGCTCATCTGCCAGGAGAGTCTCATGTTACAACTTTAAGGTACAAAAATTCTGATTTTCCAAGTTTAGGTTGGAAAATAAAACAAGTATACATCTGAAAAACACAGGACTTTGGGTAACTTGGATTTAAATCTGGGTTTTTTTTTTTTTTTTTTGGTTTGCTATACAGTATGCGCACTCATTGGAGAGATAGGGAGGGAGAGAGAAAACAAGAAATCACAAGAAATCATCCCCCAGGGGGAATGGCCAC